GGAAACTGAGGCCTGGGGGAGGCTGGGTAAAGAACGCTGGGGCAATCCCAGGCAGTAGGCAGATACTCGGCAAGAATGCGAAGTGACTTTCCTGGAATCCCTCAGCTGGAGGATGAGGCAGCAGGGATTAGGCCACAGCCTCAGATCCTGATCTTTTTTTCTTCCTAGGAAAGCATACATAACTTGTGTCTCTGCGGAATCAGTGTGGCATGTTTTGCTGGCCCAAGGCCTCAGCGAGAGGGAGAAGAGGGGTCGCTACAGCCCTCCTGCGGGTAAAACCAGCTCTCTTAGAAACCTGCCTCCATGCAGTAGGGTGGGGGCAAGGATGGGTGATAGCAAAGAGGTTGAAAACCTCCCTGGGATTGGGGAGTGAGAGCTTCCGTGTTCCCTTAATGTCCTAGGCTAATTCATAAGGCATCTAAGTTCTGGGTCTCACCCAACCTCAGAGAGAGAAAGCCTGTCCCTGATGGTGTCCCCTCCCCCTCAAAGACAGAAAGAGATTGAGCCAGGAACTGCCCTCACATCCTCTGCTCTGCCCCTTCCCTTCCCTCTCCTCTGTCCCTTCCACCTAAAGCTGTTTGGGGCGCTTTCTCAGAGCCCTGGGCAGTGGCAGGCAGGGAGGAGTCCCAAGTACTGATCCTGGTGGCCCGGAGCCCCATGCTGTGGATGCCAGATTTGGCAAATAAAAATACAGGATGGCCAGTTACATTTGCATTTCAGATAAACAACGAACAATTTTTAAGTGTAAGTATGTCCTAGGCAATAGTTGGGGCATATTATACTAAAATATAATTGGTGGTTTATCTGAAATTCAACTGGTCCTCCTGCATTGTGTCTGGGGATGCTACCCTATGACTTTTCCCCTCTCCCTTCGGTCCCAGGGGGCCAGGAACCCCAAGGATTTGACTTAACCAGTTTTTTGAACTGCAATATTGAGAAGGGGACACTGTGACTTGAAGACACATGAATTTATTTTTTAAGCGACAAGATAAGAACCTTCTGAAGCCATTTGAGCCTCATCTGCCCCCTCCATGTGTATTTAATTATATATAAAAGAAGATATTTACCTAGAAGCATATGAAGAGAATCTTGTTTAATCAAGATGCATGTCTACAACTTTCTGTAAATAGCCGCATGGCAATGCTGAGAGTCCCCTTGATCTCCCAACCGCAAACCTGTTTTACAGAACTGGTTGAGGCTGTTTCTTTGATTTTATGTCGTGTAAAGTCTTTGTCCCCCAGCCCCACCCCTGTCTCCTCCCATCGGAAAACCCCCCATGGGAGCCATCAGCAGGCGGGAGTCGGTGCCAGCTCTGGTCCAGCCCTGCCACGGGAGATGCTGGAGGACCCTGTCGCTCTGAAGGCCTGTTTGCTGCACACCTGTCTGCAGAGCCAACCTCGGGGCCCGGTGCAGTGTCCACCCTGGTATCTGGCATCCCAGTTGCTTCCGTGTCCTGTGTATGTGTATGGTGTGCCCCTTCCTCCCACTGTCTGAATTCACTGAAAAGCCATAAAGGGGGTTTCCTGCTGGAGACTGGGCCTCCCTAGGCTCCTCCCAGGAGCCCCCGTGTCCCTCTGACTGGCTCCCCACAGAACACTTGTGAAGGGCTCACCTGTTGTCGCCCCCTCCTCCCTCAGCCCTGTGTCATGAGAATGGACAGTGTCTAGGGCTTCCAGTGGGGCCTTAGGAGATGCCCAGGCTGTCCCTGCCTGAGCTGGCTTCCTCAGCTTGGGTTCACAGTTAGTTCCATCTCTATTCTGGGTGAGGCAGCAGTGGGACTCCCTGGTTCTGGATCTTTCCTGGGGCCCCTTTGGAGGTAACCAGGACTTTCAGGAGCAGCCAGTCAGTGGCCCAGCCAGGGGTGACAGAACCATCCCTGCTTACTCACCTCTGTGGTTTCAGGGTCCATGGGTGGTGATGGAGGAGGGACTCAGGGAGAAGCCGGTGAACACAGGGGCTGATGCTCTGCCCTCGCATGTCCTCCTGCAGTCTGACAGAAGCAGCCCAATAGCGGGGCAACCTCAGGGCTACCAGGGCTCCTCTGAGAGTGGGGCAGGCAGGTTCAGCTGTGAGGGAGGGTCAGAGGTTTGGGCAGAGCAGGTGTGAACTCAGCCCCTTGACCTTCACACCTGCTCCCCAGAGCAGCCCCAGCCAGCTGCACCAAGTAGCAGAGAGGTGAGTAGAGAGGCCTGGGAGCTTCTGAGGCCCCAGGTCATCCTGTCGAACTGAGAGGGATAGGTAGCCCCACTGCCCCACGAGTGCCTGAGGGCAGTAATGCATGGGAAGAGCCCAGGATGCCTTAGGCCTGGCAACTGTGATGAGTATGAGGAAGAAGAGCGAGAACAGGAGGGGAATCAGGCAGGGCACATTCGATGAGGCCCGAAGTGCCTAGGCAGGCTTGCCCTTCACAAACCACAACTCGTGAGCACACAGAAGTCCCAGGGACCTTTGTGCTGGGACATGAAAGAGTGGGGAGGGTGGAGGGGACCATTTCAGAGCAGGCTGGAATCAGATGCTTGGACGAGTGAAGACATGTCTTGCTTCCTCCAGCTCTCTCTGGGGACCTCCCACTCTCCACACCCACAGCAGAGACAGAAATTGAGGCAAGAGTTGGGAGAGTCTGTATGGCGAGGTGATGGGAACAGTGTGCACGGGGTGCCAAGAGTTCCTCCATCCTGCCTGCCTTAGAGATCAGGACTTTAGGGGGCTCTTCAAAGATGCTGACCCTTCCGCCCTGACTACTGCCCATCTAAGGACTTTATTTGCTGCTTTCTGAAAACCCTAGGGCTGGAAACTTCAAAACCAGGGCCTGGCAGAGCCTGCCTTCACCCAGGTCACCCCACTCGGAGCCCTGCCTTTGTCTCCATAGGAAGGACACATGTACAGTCCTCACCCCGCCCCATTCCCCACCTCTGCTTGGCAGTGCTCTCCATCCCCCTTATGTGGACTCTGTTGTTCTTGTCTGATCTCTTGTCAAATTGTTATTTTGTAATGAGCTGCGCCTCCTTATTAAAGAAATGAGCTGAAAGAAACCTGGGGGTGGGGGGTGTCTCTGGTTGTTTTTGCTGCGCTGAGGTGGGGGTGAGGGAGTGGGAGCTGCCTGTGAGAGTCAGTATGGTGGGTGAGGGTGATGAGATGGGGCTGAGGCTCTGGCCTCTAGCCAGAATCTCCCTTCAGGGAAGCAGCAAAAGGGGCTGAGGTGCCTTTCTCCTGGAGGTGGATGAAGACCAGACTGGCACTCTGGTGGTTGCTGGGGCCCACACATCTCCTGATTGAGGACACATGCCAGGCCTGTGGAATTGTGGGGAGCATGGTGGTGCCGAGGAACACTGAGAAGCTGGGTGGGGCAGGGTGGTGGTGGGGACTATACTCTTGGATTCCCTTAGGGAACAGCCACAGTCTGAGCCCAGTGACAAGAGGGAGTCTGGCCCTGGGAAATGGGACTTTGAAAAGAATTTCTACAAAGTCCTCAATTGTCTCTTTGCAAAGAACTTGAAATGTCTTTTAACTTCTGAAGCAAAGATGTTAGGGACCAGGGATAAGGCTTCAGAATTTTTAAGGAAAGGGAAGAAAACACTACCCCAAAGACCAGGGAAGAGTAAAACTCCTTGAGTTCCCACTTCCATCTGTCTCTTCTCCTTGAGGACAGACCAGCAGCTACCATTTTGTCAGTTTACACCAGCACATGTCCCCCGGGAGCACCATTGGCTAGACTTGTGCTTGTCCATCAGGTTCAACAGCATGAGGCGTAGTGAAGGCAAGCCAGGGACAGGAGCTGCCCACCTGGGGGAGCGTGAGCCCAGATCCTTTACCATCTAGCTTGTCTTGTTGCTTCAGTCCCTGAGGCTGGGGAGGGTGGGTGGCCTGGGTTGGGTGAGGGGCATGAGCCTTTCAGCAGGACTGGGATTTATCACCTGAGGGTCTCCTGGCTGAGAATGTGAGCTTTTTACTCTGCTAATGCGGAGGCAGTGGCCTTCTCCTTTGCCCCCAAGAAGGCTGGACCACATGATGGCTAGGTGATACTGTCTCTGCAGACCTTACCACAACCAGCAGGGGACAGAAAGAGAAATATTTATTTGCAGTCTAGGAATCCTTTACATCGGTCATGGTTCTTTGCCTCTGTTTTGGGCCCCAGGACAGGACTGAATTCTTCAACCATGACATCAAGTGTGTTTGTTCTGCTGCTGCTTGGGCTACAAACAGCTGGCTGACAGCAGAGGAAAAGAATCTTCCCTCCCTGATCTCTCCTCAAGTCAGTGACCAGGGATTTCCGCTTGGCAGAAAACACAAGGCTGAGAAAAGCCAGAGGCAGGGCTTGCTGGAGAAACCAGACCCGAATCCTGGCTGCCTAGGGTCAGACCTGGCCACCCACGTACAAACCCTGCCAGTGAGCCTGAACAGCCCCTCTCTGGGTATGGCTCCTTCATTTTGAGTTTGGATTTAACCTTCAATAACTCCCAAATAACTTCTGTAGTTTGGAGCTACAGAACAGTTTTGGATCTCCCAAATTAAATAGTGACCTCACGAGGACTGTTATGTACATAACAGATGACTAAGGGTGACGCCAGGAGACTTTCATGAGCCCAAGGAAATCGCCATCTCCCTAGACCTCAGCTTTCCCATGTACTACAGTGTGCTAGTGTTCACCTGGACGGGCTTAACACCCTTGTCACTTGGCCCTGCTGTCTTCCAAGAAATAACCATACTCTTAGTTACTTGAAGCTTGAAACCTCCTTATCGTCATATGGTTCTTTTGAACTCCAATCTAGGCTTCTCCTTGGCCTGACTCCATTTAGGAAATTCCTTGATGAGAGACCCTTACCTCAGTGGCCATGACTCACTTGTGGCTGTCCCTGGGGAAGGGGCCTCTCTGTGGACAGGAGCTGCAGGAGGCTGGTGGGTGAGGCCCTCACCAATGGTAAAGAGGATGTAAAATCAGAAGAGGCTCTCCTAGATGTGAAATTCTATAAATTCCGTGCCCTGAACTGTGGAGACAGTCACAAAGTTAAAACACAATTTTATTTACTCATTTATAAATACTGTTGTGTTTACAGGCATCATATAGATGTGAATATTATTCCCAAACTTTCAAACAAACACAGAATACTCAATACTATATAATAACAACCAGTAAAACAAAATCGTCTTAGGGTTGAAAGGCCACTCAAAATTGCATAAAAATACATTCAGTTCACAAAGCAAGTCTGGCTTCCTCTTCCTAAACACCCCCAACCCCACCCCACCCCAGGTGTATTTACAGTGGACTGAAGTTAATCAATCATACAACTCAGCTGAAAAAGTTACATCTGATGCGTTAACCTTGGTGGAACTCAGGTGAGGGGTGGAGGAAAGACACAAAATGCTACTACTAAAATGGGAGGGCATGGAGACACCACGGTGGTTCTTTTCACCCCTGTTGATCAAGGTCAAGGTAAAGACAAGAATGAAGTTGAGTGGTTCACACCAAAGTCTGAGCATGAACCACTCAACTAAGCACAGGCTGTATCTTCTCCAAGAAGAATGCAAGGGTGAAACATTTCTTCCTCCTTCAGGGAAATCATTGCCCTGGTGTGCCAGCCAGTGGTAGACCCAAACTTTCAGAAGTTCAAGGGATGCTGGCTAGAAAAGGAGGTATTCTGGATTGCTGCATCCTTTCAGAACCCTCTCCAACCCCGCAGCCTGCCTCCTGGTGTCTTTTTCCTCCAAACTCTCTGTACCTGGCCTCTCTTCATTAGAAGGCAAGTGGGAATCAGTTCCAGGCTCAGTAGAATGGGAGAAAGAACAGGCAAAGGCACAGATACTTAGGCGAGAGTCAAGCTATTTCTGGCCCTAGCATGTCCCTTATTCAGGATCTGCATTCTGACCCTTAACTCCGGTTTTGGGAGAACATTAGAGGTTCTTAAGAGGCTCCCCACTATCAGTGTGCCCTTTCTGAATCCTTGGTCTTTGAATGGGCTGAGCTGTTGCCACGAGATGCACTGACAGAGTTTGTGCTGGGAAGACACACTTCTGTTTTAAGCTATAAACAGTCTCAGGACAGAGTAAACCAGACATGGCTACCCATGGTCTCCTTGCCCAGGACATGGAGGAGTCATATGGGCCTACAAGTCAAACCTCATCTCTGAGGGGGCATTAGCATAGCCGGGTAGCTTTGAAACTGGAAGAGGGGGCAGTGGTGGTGGTTGGTATATTCAACTTCTCCAGGAATCTTGGCTGATTCATGGAAAACCACCTCTCTAAAGCACCCTTGGCTTCAAGTGAGGAAAACAAGGAATTAAGAATGTGGAGGGGTGAAGTGTATGTTTATTCTGGAAGGACATAAGAGCATCCTGATGTCACCTTAAAGGGCCACCCAAGTAAATCTTTATTGGAAACATCAGGGAAAAATCTGGAGGAGAAATAACAGAAAATATCACTCTGGCAGATTCACAGTCCAAAATGATAAGCAGATGAATTGGGGAATGGTTCAAATAGGTCCTCTGGGGGATTAAAAGGGAGGGGGAAAAACAAAAGATATGATTTAGTAGAATAATATACTAGGATACAATTGGTTTCTGAGTTTTCATTTCTAATCAACTATATGCCAGACCTCATTTTAAAAGCTCTGGGTTCATAAATTTGCATGTGAACACACATAAGCGAGAAGCAAGAGTTATCCCCAAATTGCTAAACCTTTTTAGGTAAGGCCAGAACATTCATTAATGGTATTGTCTTTAGACACACCCACCTCTTACTTACAGTTCTCCACAAGGAGGGCTTCCGGGACACTGGATTGTAAGCCATCCCTGGGTTCTATGTTTGCCCTCAACCCTAACTCTCAAAGGAGAAGTGAATGCACCTTTTTTCACCATGCAGCTGCTGGCTGCTGGTCAAGATTCTCTGTTTTTTCTCAGCCCTCAGAAATCACCTCATTCCTAGTAGCTGTGACCAACAGTTCCTGGACTACAATGAAGTTGATCTATTTTCCAATCTAATCAGAACACAAAAGATCAATAGCTGTCCCTGATAGGGTCTACTGCTTCCCGAGCAGTGTCAATACCCATTAAGGAAGCTGATTAAAATCTCTGCTTAGCTGCTGAGGGATGAAGTCACCACTGAGACAGAATTCGCCTCTGTGTGCCGAAGCTTTGCTTCTGTGAAATCCTTCCCAGTGCTTGCAGATTCCGCCCTACTCTTTGTCCAAAGCCCCTGAGCCTTCTGCCTTCTTCCCATCACAGCTTCCAGGGTCTCTGCTCTTTCACTCCAATTATACCCAGTCCTATAGGAAGCCTGCGGAGGCCAAGTGCTGTTCTATGCAATGTGGTTGTGTGGACTCTGGGTCTGTAAACACTTACTGCTTTGGTAGTCTCCTCTTCAGACCTGCTTTGAAGGAAAGACCATCTTGAACAGTACCAGAACTTCCTACTTCTGATAGTCCAGGATCCAGAGGAGGAGCTCAGTGGAACTCAAGATTGAGGTTTTTATCGAGGAAAATTATCTTGCTGCTGTAAGGCAGAGTTCAAGACAATGAACCAGATGGCGCTGAACAGAAAAACTGTTGGTCTGCTATTTGGGTGTGAAGAGCCAATGTAGATCACATTTTGAGAAAGCTGAGGAAAGGTGGTTGAGGAAACCTATGAAGCAGCAGGTCTATTTCCTATTAAAACAACTTGTCCAAAGGCTGCTTGCAACAAATTGGTTTCTATCCATTTCCCCATGAGCTCCAATTTCCACCTCTGCAGGCTTTAATAATCTTACCAAGCCATTAGGAGGGAAAGCCATTGCAACAGCATTCAATTACCCACAATATTAAATTCGCTTCCCAACAAGGATGAGAAGTCAGCCTTGATGTGCTCATGTTAAACAGTTTTAAAACCAGAAGAAAACAAAAATTTTTGCACTTCGATTTTTGAGGTTAGAATTTTTTAAGCAGAAATACCAAGAAATATTCTGATCTTTCTAAGAATGAATAAATCACGGAATTCTAAGCCAATAGGAAAGGGCACATAAAAATTATCCAGTCCAACCTCATTTTACAGTGAGGGTGACCTGCCCAAAGTCACATGGCTAAAAGAAGGGATGGCCTTGGAATACAGATGTTCTAAGACCTTATCTTTTTATATTGCTTTTTTCTGTCCTCAAAGCTGCCTTGCTTATTGTGTCAGAAGAACTCACATCTTATGAGGGGTTAGACCCTGCCTTGAAAATCAGTATGATGGGCTGGACGTGGTACCTTGTGTCTGTAATCCTGCCACTTTGGGAGGCCCGGCCAGGTGGATCACTTGAGCCCAGCAGTTTGAGACCAGCCTGGGCAACATGGCAAAACCCTGTCTCTACAAAAAAACACAAAAATTATCTGGGCATGGTGGTGCAGACCTGCGGTCCTAGCTGCTTGAGAGGCTGAGGTGAGAGGATTGCTTGAGCCTGGGAGGCAGAGGTTGCAGTGAGCTGCAGATCACACAACTGCACTCCAGCCTGGGTGATAGAGTATGGTATCTGTAGTAATCACTGGGCCTAGATTTAGGCCAATTACACCACCTCTGACTGATAACCCTGTGCTTAAAGTGCAGTGCTGGCATAAACAATGGGATCTGAGGACCCCTGATGATATCTCTGAGGGAAGGACACCAGGCCTCCTGCAGTGTTACCTCACTGATAAGCTCCGGTGGAACCAGTGCCTCATCTGGTAGAGTTTCCCTTTCCTTTTTGCTTAAATTCTGAATCCTTTATGCTTTCTTTTTCCTTTTTGTACCTTTTGAGGTGTAAAGCCACCTGGAAGCTGAATAACTGGTGACACTTTGAATAGTTCTCTCTTCTCCAGGCTTCTTCTGCTTACCCCATGCCCCACCTCATGAGTGCCAACATGCACCAGTAGCCTGGACTGAAACACTGGCCTTTCTCTGAGGGGAGACAGTGTCTGTCTGTGGCTACGAAAGGCTGCAAAGAGGACAAAAATCCAGACACCTAACAAAGTACATGGCTTTGAGGTTTCTTCTTCCATTATCTTTGGCTCAATGAAATGCCCCTAGTAGAGAAACAGTAATTCGCACATACTTTTGTAGGATCCACAGACAATGAGTTTTAGCTTCCTTGCCTCCTGAGTGGAACCATTTAATAAGAACATGGTTTGGGGAAGGGAAATGGGTAAAATGTTGCAAAACACAGATCTGAAATCTCACTAGTGGCCTCAGATAGCAATAAATGAATCTAAGTGTTCTTAAACCTGGGGTGGGAACGAGGACAGAAACCAGGGAAAGCCCAGAAGAGAAGCAAACACATCCTGCAGCTGGAAGACACAGCAGCTCTAGGGAACATCAAGTGACAATGGCCCACTAGAGAATCTAGTGCACTGAGTAAGCCCAAAGCATGTCTATTCTTTAGATTCTTTAGTGGCAACACCCTGAGATTCACATAACCCTTTCACTACAGACTGGGATGGGGCTAGGGGTCATCATACTCTGGAGCTATCTGGAAAAGGGTCAGCAGCCCTGGAAAGACAAACAGGCGAACTTTAGCAACAGAATCTCTGGAATGGCCAAATCATTACTTCCAAAGGTGTGACTCAGCTTCTGAAAAATAACAAATTAATGAAAACAGAGGGTGTAAGGCTGTACCAAGAACATTCTCTTTCCCATTCTGATACTTCATGTAAAGACGCTAAGTGATAGGCCTGAGCTCATATTGTTGGCCAAGTCTGCAGCTATTCATTCAGCTTGAGCTGCCTGGGGTGCTCATCAGTATCCAAACCAGCAGGTGAGGACTGAGGATTGTGGCCACTGAAGAGGCTGGCGGTAGGTACTTGTCTAAGCAGCACAAGAAAAGGGAGACCTGCTGATGCCAGTATCCAGAGAGAACTGCTGGCTAGTAGAAGGCCTATAACTACCACCTTTTTGGGCTTCCAGACAATACAGTTGTGAAAGAATGGTTATTTTATCTCTGGAGATAGACCAGAAATCAGTTCATCTAAAATTAATTGCATAAGAGAAAGTACCTGAAATTACCTAGGAGAGCTTACATTTTCATGAGTTCTTGGCCATAGAATCCAGTATTCCTGAGATTGAAAAGCTGGCAAATTTCTTGTCACAAGGAAAACTTTTTGGCAAGAAAAGTGAGCTTTAACATGAAAGGGCCGTGTGAAGTGGCAGGGGTACAACACCAATCTAAGAGTTTTGAGAACCTGCCCCCAATACTTTTGAAAGGCACAAACAGATCTGAGGGGACTCTTTGTAATCCCTTTCTCTGGTCTATTGAGTGGAAAGGGGTAAAGATGTATTCCTAGTAATCCAATTTTCCTAAGAAGTATGATCTTCCTTCCCCAATATTCAAAATGTGCCAGGATAATTAATTAGTCAACACCTTGTGTTGATTTCCTCTCCCAGAATGAAGGAAATGCTTATAGTGAAAGATATAAAACTTACTACTCTAATTTAGCATTCCCTGAGAACTGAACTTACAGTATTCCCATGATAATACAAAGTCCCAAGACAGTATCAGCTTCTCTTGAAAAATGGTTGGAAATGGAAGACAGAATTTTATATACTCTAAAAATGGGGTTTTGTCAGAGGAAACATATCTCCTGTTCTGGAATTGGGATCTTGAACTACAGCTTCTAGTTTAAAGAGCATATGATGTTTCAGACAGAGGGCCATATAGAGAGCTACACATCACGTCAGGAAAGGAATTAACAGACAGAGGTAGTATATGTTAAGGAAATGAACCACTCTAAACACTGAATATCATTGGCAACCCTAAAATGATGAGGATTTAATGACCTGCACACTCAAATGAACCCAAGGATAAAACTCCTACAAAAGGAAAATACTTTAAGTATTAATGCTAAGTTATCATCAAGAGCTAAAGGTTTAATTTTGCACTGGATTTGTGGAGTATTCTCTCCAGGCCTGGGCATGATATTTTTAAAGGCTGGTTTTGTCTAGAGGAGGATGTGACAGGTGAGAAAAGCATGCCATATGAGGGATAACTGAAAGGACTAGGACCAGGGTAACGGCAGCTCAAAGTAAGACTGAGGGGAGACCACCCACTGTACGTATCTGAAGCGCTGTTAAAGAGCTGCAGATAGATCTGGACTACAAGGAGAATCCACAGGCAGACTTCAACACATATTAGGAAAAACTCTCATTATTAGAGTTGCTTAACTTTTGAGTAATAATTGCATAGCCACCAGAGGCTACCTGACCATGCCCATGGGTCAAAGCTGCGGTAGCAGGGGTCCCTGTGACAGAATAATAGAAAGCTGGACCTACTGACCTCTGGGCCTTTCCACTCTAAACTTCCATGACTCTTGTCAATGGGTTGAAAAGTACTTCATTCCATTAAACCCCTATTAAGTGCCGTTTGCCCTATTAATTTCTAAGAACGTAAATCTCTCCCCTAAATCTAACCATTGGAAATAATCAAATTCACCACGATTCTCACAGCCTAATGGGCTGCTATCATACATCTTCTTTCTCACAATGTTGCAAGTGGCCTCAGATACTTGACTTTGCCGTATGTGTCTTTCCAGCCTACTTCCATTTCCTAGTCCGTCTCCCAACCATCTCCCCTTCTCACCTCTCATTCCTCCTTGCACTGACATCATTTCTCATTAGAAGCAGGTGTCAGTGTGAAGAGAGGAAAACAAGGTCAAGGAAGGGCGGCAGAATAGGGTATTCAGAGCCCAGATTTTTTTTTTACAAAGAAAATCACTTTGCAGGGGGAAGATAAGTGGGAGATGAAAACAATGAGCTGACACTTATGCCATGGTCTGGCTTTTAGGGAGGGGGCAGTGGTGCTGCCACCAAGGCACCAGAGTGATGATTTTCTTGTCTCCAGAATAATGATTTCCCACAATGGACAAGGACAACTGAAGTCAGGTGCTCTGTCCTAGATTTTACACCATTGAGTGAGGGGGTGGTAGAGTGAGAAAAAAAAAAAATACAAGGACAGAAAGGAAAGGAATAAATGAAGCCAGGGCCATTTGCGCCTTGGAGAAAGGACTAGGTATGAGGGAGAAATAAGGGTTAAAATTAATCAGGGAGTTACTGGGGTGTTGATAGAAAAAATACAATTAAGTCAGTTCCTGAGAGGTGAAGAAGAATAGAACACCTCGATGCAGCCACTGTCACCTTGGACTCTTAACAGCTCCAGAGACCATCCAATGATCAACTCAACATCCTGCTGTTTCTCTTGGCACCTCAGTCAGGATCCTGGCGTGGCTACCACAAGAATCACCTATATCAGAGGACACTAAGTCAATGTAAAAAGCTGAAGGATACTGATTTGGGTAGAAGCCTTACATGTTTGGACCAAATCCAATGTGGACAAAGTAGCTGAGCAGCAGGAAGTTGAGGGGTCCACAGCTGAGCCTGGTGTACTCCCCAGAGCACTCTCCAGATGGCTCGAATGATCACAATCATGCTTCAATTAAAACTGTCATAAAACTTGGGATAGGGGTGTAGGAAGAACAGGGCATTGAGAGTGCAGAGAAAATGTAGAGTGTACAGAGGTGACTGAAAAGGGTGTTAGAAGTGTCCTTCCACCAAAACATCCATTTCGTTTGGTTGGAAGGCAAGGACTGGAAAGAGGGTGGAGGCAGCAAATGCTGTTCTTTTCCTTCCTCATAATTCTGGAGCCTAGCCTATTTGGACAGTTTGCTGATGACTCTGATGAGGGCACCATTTTCATCTTTCAGCCTCTGGTTGTCGGATTTCAGTTCTGTTAACACCTGTAGGGTGACAGAGGGAAAGGTGAGTTAGAGCCTGGCAGGATCTCCTCCTTTGCCCTCCTTGATCAGACCAGGCCAGCCTGGTGAGCAGGGCCTTCTGAGACATTGTGTCAAATAAACTCTCATGGTCCCTTCTCCCAGGGATGGCATTCCCTTCAATCTTCCTATTTACTGAGTTGGTAATGTTAATCTTTAGGGAGACTATAACCCCTCCATCTTTTGAGCTGGCATATTTAGCAGTAATATCTTATTTCTTCATATGCAGACCTCCCGTTCCACACTGTATATCCTTTCGCTCTATTGAGTCAGTAAACACTTTCAATTTCTCCTGCCCTTGAACTCACCCCTAGTCTAAAGAAATTGGGGAGAGAGCCAAAATGGGCTGGTGAGGACATAGGGAAAGAATTCAGAAAGGGGGTGGTGGTCAACTAGAAAAGTTAAAGGAGGATACTGCTTCACATCTCATCAAAAACAACAATGCGGGCCAGAGAGGCAGCACTTGGCTTTCCTGCTATATGCACAAGATGATTTAAGGTCCACTGTGCGTTTGGTGAATAATCCACCAAATTCTCACTGGTCATACTACACACATCCACTTTCAGCCATTAAAACTCAGAAAACTTACAGTCACAGAGCTGTGAGGCACATTGAACACTAGGTATGTATTTAATCCTCCCCAAAGCTCCCCACTGATAGGCACCAAAGGATACCCAGAGGCCTTATCAGCAGTTTTAGGGGATGGCATTGTAATTCACAGAAATAGATGCTTGTAGGGCAAGGGACGGAGTGGAAACTCAATTTTGTCAGTTCTGCCATCTTGGAACATTATACATACTGTTGTCTTCTTGTGAAACAAAGGAAAACTAATAACCTCAAGTTCCGTCCTGGAAGTCCAAGTCTTTGTTACATGATCAGGCACTTTTGACAGTATGCTGTGCATCTGAAAAATCCTAATGGGATGTTGATAAGGGTACAGTTTACATGTGGGTCCCACCAGCAGCAAGAGCAATTTAGGATAGAAGGTTAAGTACACTGCCACTCTGCAGGCTACAGAAATCTATATCTGTATCTGTTCAATACAGGTGTCCTTTGACTAGTCATTTAAACCTATAGGACCCCAGGGGCAGGTAATGCCCCCATTAAAGGGTGACCTGGGCTGAGGTATTATGAGGCCTGTTTAGTTCTAGCTCTGGCTCTGCTAGTAACCACTTGGGAGATCTAACTGTGCCTTAAGGAATATAATGTTTCCTTGATCTCTCAGGGAATATAGGTTAAATTATATAAATATATCTGTATGTACACATATATGCATCACAGATACATAAATAATTTGTATCAGGAAAATAAAAGGAAAATTACTGAATGTCTATAATGTGGATAGCACTGTGCTAGAGGGTCTCCTTAGTGCCTCATGAGACTATGATACAGTTGTTATCCTGATTTCTACAAATGGGGAAATGAAAAGTCCCATAACTAGTTCAAGGCACCCAGCAAAGCTAATATTGAACCCCAATGTGCCTGACTCCAAAGATCATTCTTTTACTACATGTGGGATGGAAAACAAAACATCAAAAATGTTTGAAGAAACGGAAATTCCAGCATTGTCTTGCCTTTGCCACGACTGATCTATTACTTTAGGCAAATCACTCATCTTCTCTGCTTCTATTTTTGTACCTTTATAAGAACAATAGTCCCTGTCCTACTCTGTCATATGGTAGGGACTCTGTGAGGCTCACAGGAGGTAACAGATGTGGAAGTTTGTTGACATACATAATGAGCTTTGCGATACTGAGTATTCCTACAATCACTGTGAGTTTTCTCATGACTATAGGAGGGCAGGCAAATAGTCTGCAAGCTTTATCAAGAAGACTTTAATCCAGAAAATATCAAAATAAAGTTGCAGTCCTTTGACCCTGGCCTCCCACCTCTGATTTAATCAAAGCAGCTCTAGCTGCCCTCTCCTTCATTCCTCTATCCCTGTAGCCCTGTACCTGACTGAGAGCTTGGAAACTCATTTCAATGAGATTTTTAGAAAAAGCCCAGGGTGGCCTCATGTTTCCATGTTCCCTCTGCTCTTTAATGCCCCATCCTGGGACTGCAGCTTGGGTATAAGGGAGAGTGTGAAAGCCACATTTCCATAATAGGATTCCATAGGTAGGAAGAAGCTATATATGGCAATGGATTACATTTCACTGTTTAACAGCTCATCAAATCTAAGTTGCCTTTAAAAAATGTATAAACAACTTGTAGAGTCTTGTAGAGTTTTGGTGATTTATTTCCACATTAAGAACTCGATTCCTTGAAAAAAAAAAATTGGACAAGGCAGTTTTGCAGCTGCAACGTGCTATAATTGACATCTAAAGGGAGTGGCAAAAAGTGTAAGAAGTGGAATGTAGAAATCAAGGGGGGAAAAGCCTCACAAATTTCAAGTTCAGAAGGGAGAGAGGGAAATGAACAGTGTTATCTGATAGCCACTTGAAGTTAAAGATGGTTAAATAAGAACATATGTGAAAGTACGACAGTAATATGAAGTTTAACAAGGCTTTATCATTTTAACTCTCTGGATCTTAGTTTCTTAATTTTTAAGTTCCCAGCTTATCACAATTTGGTGTTAAAGATATCCTGGACACCTAAATGGCAGATGCACAGAGTAGATTTACAATGTTTCAATTCCTCTTATGGCAATACTGCCTTCACTGTTATAAACCATATCTGAACAGTGAAGGCCACCCTGTCACTTCCCTGGCTGGCCCCAGGGCTACCACTGGTATTCCTGAGACTCTCCCGGCTCCACTTATGTCTAATACTAGAGGATGGTAACTAATATTTCTGTGCATTTGAAGGTTGTTGGAAAGTTACAGGTTCATTTTAGAAAGAAAGCTGTTCTTGACAGCACTCGACACCTCTTTCCCATGTAAACTATTTTCATAGATCTCAACTAAAATCCCTTACTTCACAAAAGATTGTGTTGTGCTGAAATGGTGCTCTTATAGTATTGGCTTATTAAAAGCAAAAAAGAAACCTAGAAAGGAAAAAAAAAAGATATCCTGGGCAAATACAATTAAGTACACATTTTCTCAACGATTACTTCTTACAGTCTTTGATGGGGAATGTGTTTAAGAGGAAAAGGGTATAGGGGTCTTAAAGCTTCTGAGACCTAGGAGAAGGCTATCCGCAGGTTGAGAGGGACTCAAGGTGAGTCTTGCATGAGCTGTCTTGCTTCTAACTACAAGGAAAGTGGGAAGGGAATCCCCACTGGTATTCTGTTGCTAAGTGGCTTGCTCTACATGCTGAGATAAGATGATTTTTCCCGGGACTATTAAAAAAATAAAAAAGAGAAAAATCTCTTGATCGCACTGCCAGTTTGGCTTAGTTATCCTTCCTTCTGGCAAGAATCGGCAAGGTTTTTCTGTAAAACACCAGAAAATAAGTATCTTAGGGTTTGCAGGTCAAATAATCTCTGTGGCTACTCCTCAGTTCTGCATTTGTAGCACAAAAGCACCCATAGACATATGATAATATGTAAACAAATGAGTATGGTTCAGTTTCAATAAAACTTTTATTTTGGACATTGAAATTTGAATTCCATATAATGTTCATGTTAATATGTCATGAAATTTGAATTCCATATAATGTTCATGTTAATATGTCATAAAATGTTATTCTTTTTTTTGATTTCTTTTTTGACTATCTGTGTGGCTTATGGGCTATACTGGTGGGTCACAGTTTCCTAACTTGCTATGGTCATATACCAGGCAATGCTTTATTTACAATAGCATAATCTTTTCGTAGGTAAATGGCTCTTTAGAAGTTAGGCTTTAAGAAGGAAGTCACTGGGAAGTGACTTCAGCCAGGGAAGTGCTGAGAAAGCAGAGTGCTGCCCTTCCTCCCTCAGCTGCAATGCTGGGGCACAGTGTAGTTGCTCAATAGACCCTTCTTGCATTGCTTGGGCCATATGCTTAACAAACGGTGAAAACTGTGCCAAATATGCAGACAGTTTATATTACAGTGGTGAAAAGTTTGCACTCTGGAACGTGACATATTTGGTTTGAATTTTGGTTCTACCACTCACTCTCAGAGTAACCTTGGGCAAGTTACTTAATCTGTGACTCAGTTTTTTTTCATTTGTACAATGATTGTTTTGGGGAATAAATGAGAAAAACTATATAAAGCATTCAGCACAGGCCTTAATAAATGACAACTGTTAAGGTTATTAACTATTAAAAGCATGAGGTCTAGTTTTGCCCCAGATCCTATACTATCTTGCAACAATGAAAATAACTGGATATCTTTTGGGGGGCGTCCCTAGTTTACCCTAAGTAATATTTTCCAGGAATGTTCAGGCTAACTTTAAAGCATGGAGTCTGGACCTAACAGTGGCTGCTTACAGCCAGGTCATGGTAGGACTTCCCTTTCAATCTTTTTTCTGCCTGCGTTAGCATCTGCAGTAGGATATTAGCTCAGCCCTATGATAATTAGGGTGATTCAGTTCTAGTGGATATTAGCTGCCAGCTACTAACCCTGAAGGTAAAAGCAAAATAGGCTAAAAGAAAGAACAGGCCCTGGTCAGGACTAATTGGATTGCTGCTGACAATTAAAAATTCATCTCAGAGGAGTAGTGACCCCATCATACCATCTTGAGATAGAAAAACCAGGTGTCTTGTGAGCTTGTCTTTCAGATCCAGAGCCAGGGAAAGGCTCCAGTTTGCCAAGCACATTTTTGGTTCTCCGTTGAAAATAAATCCCTGCTCTCTGCTCCACTGCCTGCCATCTCCTTTGCAAAGTTGGCCCCATTGGGGGGGGCCTGGCTCCATAAGGGTCTCATTTATATAGGCTGTGTTCTGCCTCATAGCCCACACACTAAGGGCAGGGAGGGCCACATCCCTAGGGCCCAGAGATTTGTGACGGGAATGAGAGAGATGCCTACTAAGGAGGGAGAAGAAAGCAAACACTTCTGAAAGAAGGAGGCAAAGAATGCTTATCTAATTCTGCTTGAATAG